TATTATAAACATAATTATATAAATTTACATTTGATTATATATGGACTTTTTTCCAAGTTAATACATATTTTTTTACTTATATCTTTTTAAATTATCTTTTCATATATATTACGCACATTCATATTATATCTCTCCTATTATTATTTTCAATTTAGATAATAGCGTCACATTTTAAACATAATTATAAGCATACGAATTCCATCCACGAAGTTCCATCAGCTAATAATTCCTCGGAAGCGCCTTTCGGATATATCGCCCCGGAATTCCGTTTCATTATTCTAACATTCGCGTTACCGCGTGCAATTCGCGATAACACGCCACATGGCGTATCAATCTCCCGCTATGTCTGCTTCCGAGAAACGCTGTGCTGTATCCCTGAGCCGACGACTGCATACCGGTGCAACGGGTGCGTAAGTACGCCCCAGAGAGAAACCAGTGAGTTATGACATATTTGCGGTCGAGGATCCTTCTTACCCGCCCTACGTCGCGCAGATGAGAGGCCTTTCGGGCCGAACTCTTACGAAGACCCTAACACGCACTTTGTGCGTCACAGACGCCGTGTAGTCGTGAGCACGCATTCCTGATGTCTTCCTTACGAGCGGTGCACCGACCGGATTGCCTTGCCGGTATTAAGACCGCTCCCACAACGGTCGTCGGTGTGTGCGCCGATAACCCGTAAACTATAAACGATGGGTATACGAGATATATGAGGTGTCCAGATGTTACTCGTCACCGCAAATCTTGTCTGGAACATCATCAAACTTTCAATGTTCAATATATTCACAGCGTTTCCTGATTTTCCAAAAAAACTGGAGATTTAGTCGATTTCTTCTGTGTGAAATCGAGAGAAATGTAAATTATAGTAATTAAATGCGCATCACAATTAAATCTTAATAAAGCCATTGAAGACCATTACTCTGAATAAATTTAAAATTTATACAAATCCAAAAATTCATTGATTCCTACAAAAATTGGGAATTTTAATTTATCGTGTCGCAATATTTATGAGTTGCAATTTATACTTTAACAATGCTTCTTAACTCGAATATATATATATTGCATCACGCTTGAAATTTTTTCCGTTAATTTGTAATTTATTATCATAATTATTTCCGTATTAAGAAAGTGAACATAGGAATTGTTGGATCAAATAATGATTTAAGATTTAAGTAATAAACATTAATTGATATATAAAGTATAAAATAATACATGAATCGCCGGATCGAATAATTTAGGTAATAGAATTAGTATCTACATATATACCAGTTTTATAGATATCTTTTTTCGTACTTATATATAATTATTGCCGGTGTTGCACTTTCGAGATGCCTATGAAATTAGATATTTCATCGAAACGTTTGCTGAACAACGAAGGAACGCTTTACCTCCGACAAATGTCTCAGTCCGAATCGGTTAGAATTCGATCAATATTGCCTTAGAATCAATGTTAATGTCTCTTTTCTTTTGCAAAATGAAATATTTGTCGGTTTATTTTTTTCAATAATTATAACTTTTTGAAATATTAATTATATATTTTAGGTACCGGTAGGATTTAAATCTTATATTTATATTAAAAACTAACGTTAAAGATTAACGTACTCAATTCTTCTGTTACATATTGATCGGTGAATGAACTTTTATTTTATAGAATAAACGCCAAGGACATACATATATATTAATGTTTTCTAAGTTTTAAAATTTTATTTGTGTGTGTGCATGCAAATTTAATATTTCTTTTTGTATTTAGTGTGTGTTTTTCAGAAAAAATTTTTTCATCAATTAGATTATTATTTTAAAAGCTTTCACAAATAAATTGCGCTTACATAAGAAGAAATTAATGTTTTATATCAAAAATCGACCATGGTACATGAATCTGTAACTATTATATGAAACTGTGTGAAACTGACTTTATGTTTTATCGTCTGTCGTATCTGAAAGAAAGACATACGTGCATCCAAAGAAGTAAGAATATATCAGAGAAAGGAGTTTTCATAGTGTGTGAAACGGAAATAAATTCTCAATATACTTACTGATTAATTAGGCGCGATATTTCAAATATCAGTATAACACGCATAATATAATTGTTAAAAGTTTTAAATTATGTTTCTTTTCTTGGATTATTTTGTACATGTGTTTGGCATGTACAATCCGTATAATATCCATCCGATAATGAACAGAGATTCTCTCTCGGAAAAGTGTTATAAATTTTACATTTTCTGCCTTCCTTCTCTACAAGCGCGAAATCGATGCATGTAAAATGAATGAATTCGGTGAAATTATCGGTTACGATAATTAAATTTTCAAGTCTTATTGTTAATTCCTATCCGGGGAATTTCCGGGAGATTGTCTGTTCGCTCTTCGCGACATTATTCTCCGCTAATTATTATTCGGAATCTCGCTAATGCGTTTTCGAGATTAACGGATTATCACGCGAAAACCGTCGCTTCCGCGAAAAAAGGCGAGGGACTCGCACGTGTCGCATTCGCGCGACCGTAGCAACAGCTTCCCCGAAATCAATCGGCGATTTCCGGGAGGTGACTTCATTCGGGGATTCCGTCGCGGTCACGCTTTTATTCCGTTCGATTTGTGTGTATATATGTGAAGCGAGAGAGGTTAAGAACATTATACCTGGTCAGATAACAGCACCCACCTACCGTTCGTCCATCACGTGCACACGTGAGAACTTCGATCCCTATTACGAGGACGCGCGTAAAGCCCGAATCGTCACGTATTCACGCGCCGATCAATAGACCAGCCGCTTCCAGTGTACATTTTTTTATGATTGATTTTCCCGCTGACTTTCTTGATGATTAACAACCGGGATTGTACGATTCATCTAGCTTACAAGCGAAAGTTAGCGCGCGAGAATCGTTTTAAAATTAATCTGTCTCTCTCATATTCTTACAAAAAAACGTGAACTGTAAAGTTTTGGGCTCTTTTCTTATTAATTATTTTCTTCACTCATTTAAAAAATATAAAAATTAAAATAATATGCATTTTCCAAAAAATTCTTGTATTTATTTTTTTGTTACATACATTATATTTTTATATTCGAATATCAATGCAACCATTTTAGACGAATCCGAGAAGTTGTTAATATATATGTGAATCTTCTTAGGAGCGAAAGTTTGCATTAACTCTTGTCGACGTGAACTTCATTCCAAATCACATCATCTCTTTTGCATCTCATAGAGAAACCGCTATAATTCTACGAAATTATTTCTTATCTCATTACGTAATAATTGTAAGCCAGAAGTTTAAACTTTTATTCTGAAGATAATTGTAAAAAATTAAAATAAAATTATATATAAAAAAATTTGTTATATAAATATGAATTATTACTTTTTTTTGTTTCAAATTACCATTTTTTAATTTTTAAAATAGTTATCTAGAACAGTTTTTTGTATATTTGATTTCGATCTCATTCAAAATATGGGAGAATCTAGATGTCGCAAGACAACGATAATTCTCTTCGACGAAATGTATTTTTTATAATTAATAGAAAAATAATGTTGTCGCGCGTGGTGCAGATAAATGACGGAACTTGACGAAAGCCGAGGATGTGACATGATCGCTCGTTATCACCGGAAGAAAAGCTAAGTGGAACGCTAACGAGAAAATCGAAGGCTCGGGGTTATGCGATTGGAATAATCGCGGGTCAGAAGTCACAATGCGGATGTATAATTTCTATTCCGTACGTCCGTGACACGCAGACAAGGCTGTATACACAAATACGAGGATGCGTCCCCCTGCGATTTTTCTGCTTTAATTGTAGCGATTTATAATTGTAAGACTCCTCATCATTATTTTTTCTGTCTAAATATATGTATTGTGCTAAATAAGATAAAAAATTGAAATTACATATAATTTATCGTAACTAGATTTATAATTTTTCCATGTATTTTTGTTACGTTCCTGTATTTTGCGCATATTGTCTAAGAATTCTAAACTAAAATTCAGAAACGTTGAATTTAAAGAGTAACAAAAAATAGCAAAGCGTGCACATTAGAAAAACGAAAGAAATTATAATAACATCGATTGCGTCCGATCGCCAGCTGATCCTTTTTGTGCGTCGCTTTAAAAAAGGAAAAAACTCGTTTAAGAGTAAATGCGGTGTCGCGCTCTTGAGAAACTTAATACGAGCCTCGTCGCGCCGTCGAAGGATAAATCAACAAGAAGGTCGCCGTCGAGACTCGATTACACCTCGCAATTAAACTTCAAACGAAGATGAATTTAACGATTACGAGAAGACAGGGGAACGAAGGGGGTGGGCGAAGAATATTCGATCACTTCATACTTCGTCTCGTGTAATTGAACTTGAGACGCGTTGCACTTAAGGCATCGCGAGAAAGTCGTTCGCGCTGCTCTCGGAGAAATCGAGATTTGATGAGAATCGAAATTTGACGGTGATCGACTCGATGGAAATCATGAAGACGAATGTTGGATACGAGAAAGTAGCAAAACCTTTCGCCTTTTTGTTGTGAGAGAATGTAAGTGATCAGGACTGGAAAGGTTCGAATTATTTCATTAAATTTGCATCCTAAAGTTAGATTTATTAGGCTTTTATAACATCACGAACAAAATCTCTAAATTCTTGAGCACATACGAAACTTTTATATACAAAAGTGAGTTTCGAATATACAATCTTGTATGAAAATAATCGGATGCAAACTTCGAGAATCGGGGTCCAGGTTTGTTTGTTTCAGTTACACTTTCTTAGACTTTCTGCATTTGAAATAGAACAGATACATACTATGCCTGATAATATTCGATATATCTCCCGTTTTAGCATTTTCTTTCATTGTAAATTAATGTAACATAGTGTCAGATGCGAAATTATGTTACATTTTAATGAAATCTGACATTTCAGACATTATTTTTATGGTACATATAAAAATGTAAATATATTATTTCTATGAAAAATATCTATTTCTTTTGAGTGAAATTTAAAAAATATTTCTACTATATCATTCGCTTTACTATAAATATAGGTATCTTTTGACATTTTTGAAGCAATAAAATTATGAATTTAAATAACAATTTTAATTATAAGGAAATGATAATTGCTGTTATTTCCAAAAAAAATACGAGTTTGCATTTGAACAAAAACACATTTTATCGAATTACATTCGTTTCTTTATAAAAATTTACAGATATAAAATCCGGGTGGTTTTTGAATCGAAGATTTGGATGGAAGATTGAAGATTAATATTTATTTATATTTTACGTTATCGTATGCTCTTTACATGGAAAAAAAATGCGCTGCTCCTATTTACCCCATTCAACAACACACCTTTGACGCTCGCTGGCTCTCTCTCTCTCTCTCTCTCTCTCTCTCTCTCTTCTCTTCTCTCTTCTCTCTCACCCTCGTCCTGCATGAAGTATGAAGCGCTGGCGCGCCGCGGAGGGAGAGAGAGCGCGAGAGAAAGAGAGAGAGCGCAGACTCACTGGGATATATACACACGCAATATCATAGCGGCAGACAGTCGACACGCGGCGCTCGTACAAGGTGGGTCTCCTCGCGCTCTCCTTCCTGTTGTTGAGGGAGAGAAAGAAAGAAAGAAGAGATTCAATAGCAATAAACGGCGAGGAGGGAAGTGAAGTGTTTTATCTCGTCTAGATATTCCGCTCGCGAGAATAATATCATCGAGGAGAATCTCCGCGATATTGTTATAACTGAAATCTATTATTCGTTATTAATCGTGATCGCTTCTTATTACGCGATGATTTCGTCATTGTTGTCGTCGTCGTCGTTCGTCAACGGAAAGAAGAAGAGGTACATTGCGACGAGATTTCCCCATCGGACATCCGGCTCGTGTACGGATCTTCGCACCGCGGAGCGCTCTTAGAATGCCACGTGCCGGCACCTAGAGAGAGATCGATCGGAGACCCCGCTCGATCGCGCCAGTGAAACAAGACCAGCTCCCTTTCTCTTTCTTTCTCGCGATAATTCCTTGTCGAAGCAGCTGGACGTGGTCCCAAACTTCGTGGAAGAACGATGATCATAGAAGTAATCGGAATTAACTGGAGTTAACCGCATCAAGGATATCTATCGAAGAGGATTGATCCTTCAAAGATATATATCGTGTATATTTATTGGAGAACAAATAATTAAACAAAATCCATCCCTCACGCGCTCCGATAATAAGTAGCCGGCGTGAAACCGGCCACGAGACCGTGTCCCTGGCTATGGGCAAGCTCTTAATAATCCCTCGAAGTGATACTACTCGCGACAACGTCAGGGTGAACAGCGAAGAGGAGGAGAGAACGACGGCAACGGCGGCGATTGTCGTCGGGTCCAGCGCGACGAGTGGCGCGATCGCCGATAGCGCTGCCGCCGATCGCGATCGTCGATTCTTTATCGCGTCGATACTCGGCAACGGTCTGCCGAAGGGAAGGGAATGCGCGCGCGAACACCCGATCTCGGGGATCGTTGAGGCGACGAGGACAACGATCGGCAATGTTGCCCGAAGTGATCTCGTCGAGCGGAACAACATTCTTGGAGCGGACGCGGAACGTTGGAGCGCCAGAATTGCCGCCGACGATCGTCGCACTTGTTGCGTCTCGAGCGTCGACGTCGCTTCGTATTTCGCGCGCAGACGAGCCCGCGATCGAGCGATCCGCCGCGATGATATCGCCAGACATTCGTCATTCATCGAGCGGCGAAATCGTCGACGAGCTGTCAGCTCCTCGCTAACTCGCGTCAGATCTGTCATTGCACCGATCGATGTCGCGGAAATCGAGAAAATACCGCGTAGTACAGTGGATGATAATGTTACAATCGGATGTGAAGACCGAAATCGATTCTCCGTTCCGCTCGCCGGTACCACGGACCAAGTTTCCATGTGTGATGAATGTATCTTATCCGACAGTATCGTAAATAATGCGTCCGGACACGTCGGCGGATCGCCGAGAAGCATTCGAGAATGTATCGGCATCGATACGGAAAACATTTTGCCCGATAATAATATCTGCAATCCCGCTAGACTGATCGCTCTCGTTAAATCCTCGTGTATTTTCGCCGAAGAGATAATACATCGAAGAAATACGTCGTCTTCATCGCGATTCCCGGCGAAAATCGATCGCGGCGGGCAAACCTGGCGGATCAAGACGTATTGGAGATTGCCAAGGATCGGTTTCGTTCTGCGAGCTTTTCTACTGGGACTACTCGTGATGAGTTTGCTCTGCGACGTAGTGCTGACCGCACCGCCGTCGTCGTCGTCGTCGTCGTCGTCGTCGTCGTCGTCGTCGTCGTTATCGGATTTGGAGGTGATGGACATCTTTGAGGATGGCATCGAAGAGGAGGAGCTGACGAAAAACAAACTCGGCGAAGACGAGTTAGAGATTATCAGAAAGAGCATTGTGCAAGGCCTCGGACTTCAGAGGATACCTGATCCTTCGAAGGTAAGGCTTATTAATAATATTAATAATATTCTGCGAGAATAAGAAGCGTCATATGACTGTACTCTCTCTCTCTCTCTCTCTCTCTCTCTCTTTCTCTCTGTTTTAACTGATAGAGCAATTTTCAGAGTAAAGATTATTAAAATAATTTTATTAAATAGAAAATTATACAATTTTACAATTACAATATTCTTTATTGTCTTTTCCGATAATATATATAAATGATACGGGAATGAACGGCGAAAATGATGCAAAAATATAATCGATGTAACATGTTGCAAAAAATCTTCGCATTTTTTTTAATGTATGAATTATTTCGGTAATTTCAAGACTGGAGTTTTTATGAATAAAGGATTTTATATTCGGACACAATAAAGATTTTTAAATTATAAGTTCAAGAAAGCACGCTTGGAATTTTTGTAAAATAATCTTTTTAGTGCTACAAATAGATAGATAAATAAAGAGAGAAGGAGAGAGAGAGAGAGAGAGAGAGAGATAACAAAAAATATTGCATTTTTTATTTTCAATAAAACTTTAATAACATCGACAATTAAAAATTGAGAAGATAAATGGAATATTTATTGAGAGGAAATCATCTTGAGAAAAGATGTCTTCAAATCGTGATCAAAGAAAAAGATGTAGGAACAACTTGTGTGTTGTATAAGAACAAACGACTGAATACGCGCGTTATTGCATGAACCAAATAAAATCGATCGCGTAAAAAAGTGAGACCTCGCCGCGATGATCCGGCGATGGCAAAAAAGTCGATAAATCCTAAATTATTACAATGACGAGAGAGATAAGAGACGTCGTATGCGGCAACGACGTCGCTCGTGCTCATTCACGCCTTGGAGTTCGTTGCTCGAGGACAACGCGTTGAGATTACCCGAATAAAAGTTACACTTTCCTTCTAGCTCCTTTCGCATGTGGGAAAGGATATTTTGAATCTTTCATCTCTATATCAATTTTATAAAAAGAAATTCATGCAAATTTTATACAAATCTGCACGCATACGAGACATTTTTCAACTTTGCTACAAATTTTGAAGATTAGATTAATTTTGCTTTTGTATTAAAAGCAGTCGGCAAATTGCCGATAAGCCAAGTTGTGAATTATGTGTTTAAAATATATATAAATCTATATCTGTCTCTGTTTCTATATCTTGACAAAATATTGAATATGTAAAACATATTCTTTTATTACTATTTTTAATAATAAAAAAATGAAAATATTATGCAAGTGAAAAATGTTTATCTTATGAAAGCTATTTAATTCTTTTTCAATACATTTGCAAATCTAGCACTTGAAACTTAAGGAATTCTTAACTTAAGATTTTTATTACATTTTATTTATTATATGTTATATTATAATAATTAATTTTATTTACTATATATATTATATTAATAAAATAGAAGGTATACAAATTCTCGAATGTTAGAAGATTCTAATATAGATTACGATCTTAGAGAGAAAATATTTTTTTAATTTCGCGAAAACAGTCGCTTTTCCGGGAATACGGTCTACGCGCTTAATCTCTGTGTGAAAAAAAAAATCATTTCGACAGAGTATGCCGGCGGTAGATATTCTTATACGCTTTCGGAAACTTCGCATACTTCGCACGATAATACACGCGACGATATGTACCGTAATATCCGCAGAAACGCGCGATCTGGCACATATATACGCGCTATTTGCCTAGACGCGGCTAATAATCGCCGTCCCTTTGTCAAGTGCCGACCAAGATAAACAGTCTTACGACCGAATGCAGTTCCTGTCGTAGATAACGTCGAATTATATGCGCGAGCGATCTTTATCTTCGCACCATGAGCGGCTTCATCTCGTCTCTATTGCGTACAGCAAGTCCTCGATGTATATGCGATGTACGCAACACCGGTCGTACATATCTCGCAAGTTGATTTACGTATCATTGAAACTTGTTGTTGCAAGATTCATTTGCTTAAGATTTCGCGATTCGAAAAGAAACCCGAAAAAGCAGAGTGATTTAAGTGCGCCCCGAGAGAGAGAGAGAGAGAGAGAGAGAGAGAGAGAGAGAGAGTTTAA